CCTCTAGAACTGGAGAATGCTTCTTATGAGTGCTGGAACCAAACCTTGGTCCTCGCAAGAGCAGCCAGTGTTCTTAATGTCTGAGCCATGTCTCCAACCCCCATCAAGTAAAAGTATCATCTACCTCCCTCCTATTTCCCATGAGGGTCACTTGTTAAACACGAGGTGCCTGTTTTCATAGTTCTTCTGTTTATATCATGTAAATATGAATGCTGTTGTTTTTTGGTTTGGGGGTTACTTTCATTTTCCTTTTCTTTTTTTCCAAGCTAATCATGGTACACACTTTCTGCACTATGACTTTTCCCTGTAGACATTCTTCTATATCATCCAGCTTTTCCTTATTTTCAGGCATTCCCATGGTATGGCTCTATCATAAATAAAGTTAATAATCCTTATCACTGGAAAGGCTCTTTGTTGCATTTTCCTGTTGTACAAACTGCTGAGGTGAAAGTCTTTGTGTAACTGGCATGTTTAGGCCATCATTCCTGAGGAGGGCTCTTTGGAAGGCAGCCAGGTCAGTAAGCATCTCCATTTTAATAGAAATGCCAACCTGACCTTCACAAGCGTTTACTCCCCACAGCAGGAGGCTTGTGTGTTCCTTCTTGTCTCTGGTGAATGTTAGGGCATAGAGCTTGTTGTGAAACAAAAATAATTTTTGTGTTTTGAAGATTATTATTTTTTCTTTTTTTTTCTATAGCTGATACTCCAATGTCCTTTTTTGATTTTGTGGTTGATCCACATTCTTTCCCCCGTACAGTGGAAAACATCTTTCATGTTTCCTTCATTATACGGGTAAGGTTTTAGATTTCTCTAACATCTTTTACATGTTTTAAAAATGATACACATCTGATAAAGGTATTTGTCCATTATAGCAGAACATTGATTGGTATGTTAGGTGAACTAAAATTTATGGCTTGCCTCTAGTTTTTAAAAATACGAATCTGAAATACTCCAAAACTTGAAACATGAGAACATAATTGGAAAATTTCACAACTACTGCATATGATTGGTCACAACTGAAAAGCAGGCCCATTAAAAATAGAGTATAAAGTGACCTTCAGGTAGTGTGAGGTATATATGGAGCAAAAATGAATTTAATGTTTAGATTAAGTCCCATCTCCAAGATACTGCATTGTATCTATGCAAATAGTCCCAAATTCGAAACACTTCTAGTTCCAAGTATAATGGTATAGCTATATGGAACTATTACAGTATGGTACATTTCCTGAGGTTTTCATGTTATATAAAAATAAGTTTATTCTCAAAACACAGACCCTGAAGCAGCAGAAGGGGATGGATAGTCCTAGCCGTCACCCTCACATCTCTCATGTGATAATATAGAAAGCAGTCAAGTAAATGTGGTCAAACAGCTGGGGAGTATGAATAGAGGGTCTATGGGAGGGCTTTGTAGTAGTTCTGTAGCTCATTAAATGTAAAAATTTTAAAACTAGTCAAACAAAACCCTGTCAATGTACCATAGATGTTTGAATTAAGACTGGAGTCTTACATCATGTTGCATTCCTAAACATGGAAGATGAATTTGGCTTTTTAAATTTAGACAGAGGCTTATACTTATCCAAGTGCTTTCTCAAACAACAAAGGCATGTTTGCCAGTGGTGCCAAGGATAGACTTGTAATAAAATGTGGAAGGTATATGACAGAAGATGGATAAATCGGTAAAGACAAGACGGTTGTTCCTTAGAGTTTCTAGGATTGAGGGTTGATCAGTTGGCACGGTGGGTAAAAACTCCTGCCAAGTCTCACCCGAGTTGGATCCCCAGGATGCACATGGTGGAATGAGAGGATAACTTTCACAAGTTGTCCTCTGACTTCCGTGTGTACCATAGTGCCGCTCCATTCCAGAAAAAGAATCAATGTAGTAATAATAGTAATAGAAATAAAGCCAGTGTGGAATCTGTCCAGTAAACATTCATTTGAAACCTGAGCAATAATCTTTTGTGAAGAAAGATGTGAGAAAAGTTTTGTAAGTTTGGGTACATTTTGGCTGTCTGAAGTACAGATTTTTCTAACTGATTCAGTTTTTTCATGCATTAGATTTTGGTGTTTGTTTCAAACCATGTTTCTGTTTTAGGATGGTTTTGCAAGAATAAGACTTGACCAAGACCGACTACCAATAATAGGTAAATTACACTATGTTCATAGAAGTTAGTTTTAAAAAATATTAAGGGTTTATGAAATGTATTTTATTCGAGTAAATGTAGGTGGGTTTTGTTTGTTTGTTTTTGTTTTTTTGAGATAGTCTTGCTCCATGGCTCAGGCTAGCCTGGAATTTGCTATGTATTCCAGGCTGGCCTTAAACTCTCAATCTTCCTGCCTCAGTCTTCTTAGTGCTGGAATTACAAGCTTCTGTTTTGTTTTGGTTTTGATTTCTTTTTGGAGACACGCTCTCGCAGTATAGAGCTCTGGCTGTTTAGGAACTTGATCTGTAGACCAGGCTGACCTTTAACTCTCAGAGATCCACCTGCCTCTGTCTCCCGAGTTCAGGGATTAAAGGTTTGTGCTGCCATGCCTGCTTTTATTGTTATTTTAAACCCTAGAAATTCTGTGACTGAGACAGTCTGACCATGTATCCCTGGCTAACCTGGAATTCTCTATGTAGAACATGCTGGCTTTGAGCCCAAAGAGCACCGCTTGTCTCCGTCTCCTAGGTACTGGGATTAAAAGCATGTGCTACCATGCCTAATAAGTTCCCATTTTTAATAAGAATTATATAAACAAAAATTCAAATAGTATACTGTAGCTAGAGTTTTCCTGCCTTGCCCACAGTCAGGACAAATCTTTGTCACCTGCCAGTCCCACAGCCGCTCAGACCCAACCAAGTAAACACAGAGACTTACATTGCTTACAAACTGTATGGCCGTGGCAGGCTTCTTGCTGTCTGTTCTTATAGCGTTAATTAATCCATTCCCATAAATCTATACCTGGCCACGTGATTCGTGGCTTACCGGTGTCTTCACATGCTGCTTTTCCTGGCGGGCTGCTGACAGTGACTCCCTTCTGCCTTCCTGTTCCTTTATTTCTCCTCTCTGTTAGTCCTGCCTATACTTCCTGCCTAGCCATGGGCCAATCAGTGTTTTATTTATTGACCAATCAGAGCAACACATTTGCCATACAGACCATCCCCCAGCACAGCCAAGTGCAGACCATCTCAGACACCTGCACTCAGGCCCATGGTCCTAATCATCCTCTATGCGGACCTGCTGGGTAAAGCCACAAACCCAAGAACGGGCTCCCACAGGACATACAGAACATCCCACAGCAGTGTACCTTTCCTGGTTAACTGAATATATGGGCGTGATTTAAAACTGATGGATTGATATCATTAATTCACTGTCTGATGTAAAGATGAACAAAGTGATAAACTGCGCTAGATTTTAGTTGTAATTGGAGTCCTGTTTGTGGTTTCCTTCTTGCCAACCACACATCCGTGATGCCAGTGCCCTCCCTTGAGCTTCTTCTGGGCTATTTCATTCTTACCTGTTAATCCTGCCCCTCTAAAGTCGTGGGTGGAGCATTTAGGACTTTGATTGCAGTTACTTGATACATGTTCTCAGTTTCAGATGGGGCTCACTAGGGTTTAGCTGAAGGGCTAGTGCACAGGTACGCATGGCATTCTAGGAAGTACATATAAGTCTCTTCTCAGGACAGACATCACTCCTATAAAGTTACCTGTTCTGATTGATGATGTTTGAAAACTTTGTCTTTCAAACAGAGCCAGTGATTAATGAAGAAAATGAGGGAATTGAACAAAACACGCAAATTAGGAGTCAAGGCATTATAGCCCTGAGTTACCGTGACTGGGAGGTAAGACCCTGCAGTGCAGCTCTGACTGTGACTTGGTCTGCTGTAAACCCACTGCCTGAATGTTCCTGTTTCCGACCAGGAGATTGTGAAGACCTTTGAGATTTCTGAGCCTGTGATCTCTCTGAGTCAGAGCCAGCAGCGACTAAGTGCCTGATGCCAGCTGAAGGTAACATTTCCTACATGACAGCCACACAGTTGTGTTAAAATTTTATTAGGCAACCCAAGCTATAGTAGTTCCTCATTCCTGTGAAGTGTGGGGTTTGCCTCCCTCTAGTGTCCCATTCCTAGAACTGTAACTGGTCAGGAAGGCAGGAGGTAGGCTGCCGGGGGCTGTCCCTCAGGATTCCTTACTTTGGTGTTCTTAAGATCTGTAGATGAAAGAGCAGTGCAGGAGAACTCTATCAGTCTGTTTTCACTTAACCGTGGATGAATGATATGGAATCCTCCCCGGCGTTGTTCGCTGCTCTGTTAGATGTCTTTATTTAATGGACACAAAGCAGAAAAGGAAGATGAGGGATGCTCGTAAACGGACATTTCTGAAATGAATAATGCTAGGGAAAAGGACATTTCTTACAGAGGGGAAGATTTTGAAATCCTAGTGGCAGTGATGTGGTATTCTGTACTGGAGATAGCAGTGGGTGGAAATGACCTTGAATCTGTTGGCCCTGCCCCTCAATTTAAAACCTTGTGGAGTCACTTCATTTTAGTACATGTTTATCTGTAAGTCTGTCTATAAAAGGACTTAATAGTTTTTTAGCTTCAATTTTCTCTCATTTTGAGAACTAAAATGAGCTTTTCAAGTACTTTATATAACCTCAGTGTATATTTCAATTAACGGAACTTCTTTTGTTTCAAGATAGCTTACCTGTCGACTGTCTGGAAGGAAAGGGAACTACCGGAGCACAGTGACTTAACCTGGTCCGACTCACTGACGGGCTAGTCACTAGACTGCATGTATGGATACAGTGTGTCAGCCATTAACCAGCTATCTTTTGTTTTGTTTTATTTTTTAGAACTGAAGGCAATAATGAAATCCTGAAAGGAAAGCAGCATATATTGTATATATGTATGATTAAATGTTTTTAAAGATGAAGATTGTTTTCAGTAAAATGTAGCTTTTGATAGTTAATGGATTTGTCATGATTGTCTTTGATTAAAGAAAATTCACTGCCAAATTCACAAATAATTGTCTTTATTGTCTCTTGGGGGGGAGGGTATGGTCCTCCTTTTTCTAGTCCTGTTCCAATAAAAGTTTTAGATTGTCAGTGCCTCACAGATTATCATAGTGTTTTTTGTTTTGTTTTTTAATGTTCTAATTATAAAATTAGCTGGCCAAGCCAACAGATAGGTTGTGCCAAATGAAATCGCTTTTTTGTAGGTTAAAAATTGTCAAGTATTTTCTGATGTGACTTGGCCTATGCTTTATACTCAAGACACCGTTATATCCTCTGGCAAGTCAGATTGGACTGTGCCCCTGGCAGCACCAAGTGTGGGCTCACCCTCCTGCATGTCCCTCTGCCCTGCTCATCCATGTTGGGCCTTCAGTTGGCCCTGGATGCTTTCTGGGTTCCTTCTCCCTAGCTTTCTCTTTTTAACTTTCCTTCCTCTTGCAGGCACTTTTTCAGGAAAGGTCTGGGTTCAAGGTCTTCCTCTGTCCCAGGAGACAGCCCTATCAGTCATCTCTTCTACTTGGTCTGGTGTTTTCCTTCACCATGCTTCTCTCTTTAAAACAATCCACACAAAGTCCTGTGATTGCCATCTTACCTCTTTAAATAAGAATCGCTTGGCGGGGGTGGGGAGTGGGGGTGTGCGTGAGAGATGGTGCACACCTTTAATCCCAGCACTCAGGCATAGGCAGAGGAGGTGGGTCTCTGTGAGTTCGAGACCAGCCTGGTTTACAGAGTGAGTTCCAGGATAGCCAGAGCTGTTACACAGAGAAACCCTGTTCCAAAAAAAAAAAAACCAAAAACAAACCAAAAACCAAAAACCACACTTGGCGGCTGGTGAGATGGTTCAGGGAATGAATGCTTCATCCCCATTCCCCATGTAAAGAAGGGAGAATCAGCTCTACAACTCTGACCCCCACATGTGTGCTGTGTGACGTGCCCCCTTCCCGTGATATATACACACAAAGTAATACCTAAGAATTTAATACAATCATTTGGAAATGTTTCAAAACCCTGGCGGAGTAGCTCCTTTCCCAGTTTTACCACTTTGCACTTTTACCAGTTGCTTTCCAAATTAACTCCAATGGGTAATGCTGTATTTGATGTGAAATTTTACCCCTTAAATCTACATTCTTCGAGTTTCTCTCTCCTGGCTCCCTCCCACTCTTCTACTCCTTTGCTTTTTACCATAATGTATTTATACTATAAGGGAAGAGTCTTGGAATTTTGTGTTTAAAGAGGCTAGAGCTATGTTAAGTGATTATTGGCCACTTAAAAACATGTAATAAAATAATTTCCCAAATCTTAAAATCTCTGTACCAGAATTTTTACCATATTTCGCAGGCAAGTTCATTCTGTAAACTCCTCCCCTTCCCCCATCACTACTTCCCTTGTAGTCTTTTTGTCCATCTTGCTCAGGCTCTGCCCAGACATCTATGAAGTATCCATTGTTTTGTCCGTTCAAACCTCTTGCCAATTCCTAGTGATTATCTCTGCCTTCAAGATTTTATTTATTTTTGTGTATGTGTGTATATGAGGCATGTATATGTTAAGGGCACGTGTGTACCACAGTACACATCTGGTGGTTAGAGGGTAACCTTGGGTCCCAGTCCTCTCCGGCCACTTTGTTTGAGTCAGGGTTTCTTTTGTTTGCTGCTGTACTGTGCACTACTTACTGTCCATGAGTTTCTGTGGACTTTGGTTTCCACCTTCAATCTTGCTATTAGAGTACTGGGATTAGACATGTGCACCCATGTCTGGTTTTTACATGAGTTCTGGGGATCTGAACTCAGGTCGTCAGGCTTGCATAAGAAGCACTTTAGCCTGCTGAAACGTCTCCCCTACCTTGCCTTCAGGAATTTAAAAGTGTAAACTCTAATGTTTAGAACCTTGCAGGATGGTCGGCCCTTTATTTTCAGGATTGATTCCTCTTCTCTAAACACTAGCTGTCCTTTCCTTCTGTCAGAACAGCTTTGCTGAGAGTTCATCCTCAATCCAACTCATCCAATTAGGACATGATTCAGTGCCTTAACATCTTTGGGGCATGCAGCCATCACCAAAAAATACTCTAGAGCACCCCTCCCCCAATCCTATGCCATTAGCTGCCATCTGTTCTCATTTCATGTTCTTACTCCTTAGCCCTGACCAGTGAGTACCATAAGAATGGAATTGAACAACCTGTGGCCTCAATACTGTGCTTTTCTAATATGTATGTCTAGAGCTGCCATTTCCCCCTTAGATGTCTGTTTTCCATGATTTCACTGTACTAATTACTATAAAATATTCTAAGAAAGAAATACAATCATCAAGGAAATAATTTAAGCTTTTTTTTCTTTTCTAGTTGACTTTTCAGAAATGGTGGCATACTCAAGAGCTCTCTGTGGAGTGGTTTTTGTATTTTATCCACTTTCGACTTTTCCATCAGAATAGTCACCTCTATAAGTTTTTCCTGGGAAGGCTGGTAGATAGGATAAGCTGTGACCTTTTCAAACTCTTTCTTTTCCTCCTTCTTCACTCGTGATTTGAAGAGAGGACGACCATGGCTGGGGAATTTTTGAGTCTTCTTTTCATCATTCTTCTGTTCTGTGAGTTCTCTCGCTCGAATCATTCGGTCTTTATGTCGCTTCATCTGCTCCTTTGCCCATGCTACTTTGGGCTTTTGGGGTACAGCTTTGTATGTTTTCTGGATATTTTTATTCTTTTCATCTTCTTGTATTAATGGTTTTGGGGAAAGGGTTTCACTTGGAATTCTCTCAGGGAGTAGTCTATATTTGTCGTCTCTGAGGCCTCTAGCCCGCTCAGCTCTCAGTATGTGTTTTTCTATGTGATTTATTTCTCTCTCAGATACTAGATAGTCCCATTTTTTTTCATTGTCTGATGTTTTTCTTCTTGACTTCTTCTCTTCCTCTGGGTTAATGTTCCATTCTGAATCTGGTGTATAATTCCATGCTTCTTTGATCATTTCTTGATGTTGTTGATAGTAGTAGGAATCTGCTTTAGCAAACCGGAAGTCAAAAGACATGGTCTTAAGTTTATCAACTGTTTCACTCTCCTGTTGTAACTCCTGGACTAACAGTTTTCTCGCTCGTGAAGAATGGGTGCCACCTAAACGCTTGTGAGAGGGAGTAATCAGAACTTTTTAAGTTGGATGTCCTTTATTTTAGTTCCATAGTACAGCTCTCAATGTCTGGCACTCCTATACCACACCCAGTTTGGGTCTGACTTTCTCCCCCTTTAAGCCTCCTACCCTCCTACCCCTCACACCCAGACCATGTTCTGTCCTACGTGAGGACTCGGACTTAGACTTCCTTGTGAAAATGGAAGCACCCAGCAGCTCCCCCTTCCCACCATCAGGGCCACCACCCCTCTATCCCAACTCCACCTTCCTGCTTATCCTGGAAACACTCTTGTCTATCAGAAGCGAATTCTTCACCTGTGCCTGTTGAGCTTCAAGGGTTTCCCTCTGTGTCATCAGAACTGCCTACTGCGTCACTTAGATCAGCTTAAAGTACCCCTCAGCACAAATGGTCTTCAAACAAGAGAGACTCTTCCTTACTTCATTCACATCCTCGGCTTTTACCCCTCTGCTATCTCATTTGCTGAATATCCCTGTATTTTTGTCTCCCTACCTTAGGGCTGCCCTTATTAGACTTATTAGCCTTACTCGTCTGTCTGTAAGGTAGAGCATGATGAGCCTTTCTTATATGGATGCTTTCCCGTGCATGGGTCAAGCACTGATTTAGAGTAGAAGGAGAACTGAACGATTTATAAGCCACATTGAGAAGGTAATTCCCTGCTCTCACCTCTCAACTTCAGGCCTGGTTTGTTTGCTTGTTTACTGTTTTTTGTTTGCTTATTTTTCGAGACAGGGTATCTCTGTAGCTCTGACTGTCCTTGAACTCACTCTGTAGACCAGGCTGGCCTCAACCGAAATATCCACCTGCCTCTGATTCCCAAGTGCTAGGATTAAAGGTGTGCACCACCACTACCTGGGAGGCTTGGTTTATTTGATCTCTCTGCTTGCTTCTTTCTCCAGTTTCTACCTTTTTGAATCTTACCACTTCCAGCTTCATTCATGTTTTCCTCTAATTCTCCTGCCTCCACCACAGGGTGCTAGCCCACTTGTTATCTGAATCCACATGTTTGTCCTGTCTTCCCAAGCCCATCAAACTAATGACTGTAGCCAGAGTGTCCAGCCATCACTGCTCAGAGAACCAAATGTGGAACTAAGCATGAGTCAGGACATTCTCCCCTAAAATGCTGGGGCCCTTTTTACCTCCAGTAAACTTTATGATTTTATCACAGAATCCAAAGTTCATGGCAAATGGATTTCCTCACCTTTATTTTCTTTTCTAGTGGGGAATAGGAACCTACTGCAATCCGAGGGTCTTCAGAACACTTAGCCCAGGCCAGTCTAGGAGAAAAGAGAAATGATACTGGGATTGGAGAAAGATGTCAGGAAACAAGCTCTGGAATGAACTGCAGAAGGGAGTTGATTTGGGACCTGCTTTTCATAGGTAGCAGAGGGCCCTTTCTCTGCCAACAGGTAGAACTCTGTGTACGTTTAACTTCGGTCTTCATCAAAATGAAGGCATGTTTGTACTGTGATTAAAGTCTACAGAAGGAGCCGTATTTTGTTTGGGGTTGTAGCTATCAGAAATAACTCTCTAACACTGGAAAACCTGAGTTGCTGTTACTGTTTCAAATACCACAAAACTCTGTAAGGAGGTGTAAAAAAAAAAAGTTTTGATATGAAAAATTTCAAATATAACTATTTTAATTGAAGTTACATATAAATATATATTAGATTTCCCACAATAGATACTTCACTATAATAGTTCATTTTTCTGTTTTTGTTTTCGAGACAGGGTTTCTCTGTGTAGCTTTTTGCCTTTCCTGGATCTCGATCTGTAGACCAGACTGGCCTCAAACTCACAGAGATCCACCTGCTTCTGCCTCCCGAGTGCTGGGATTAAAGGCGTGCGCCACCACAGCTGGGCCTAGTTCATTTTTCTTATCACTTAAAATTGATTATTTATTTTGGTTGTGAATCTTGCCTTTAATGGCTGAGCCACCTCTCTAGCCCTTTCTCTTTCTCTCTCTGTCTCTCTCTCTGTGTCTCTGTCTGCCTCTCTCTTTGTCTCTCTCTCTCTCTCTTAAGACAGTTTGTAAAGACACAGCTCCTTTAAGAGGCACCTTCCTGGCTTGGTGCTAGCAGCAGGCATGGGTGTGGCTCTTTTAAGAGGCCCTGCTACAGAACACTTACATGGGGTTTATGAGCAGGGGGCCGTATGCTACTTGGTGGCATTGTGGACCCAACAACTTCTGAGAGCTGGGGTGGTAAACAACCACCCCCCCACCTCTCCCATGAGGCTAAGTTCTCAGGGAACTGAGCCGGGAGGAGCCAGGTGCCAACCACCAGGCACTATTGCCATACACTAAGCTGAGCAGTGCCAGTGACTAACATAGCAGTTTAAGATTTGTTTCATGTGATGAAAAAACAACATAGATGTTCAGTCAAGATAGATCTAGATGGAAAAAAACCTCTAAATGGGTTATGGTGTATTTAAAAATGTACATAGACTTGGGAGAGAAAAGGGAATGGTATGGAGTAATAGAAAAAAATAGTTTAAAAATAATAAAGTCTTGTGCCTGTGGTGTGACGCCTTGTACAGCCTAGGCTCAGTGTGCTGGGCTCTGCTGATTCCCCATGGGAGACCTCGGTTTGGGGGATGTGGGGATGCGGGGTGGCTTGGGAAAGGGCTGGGGGATGGTATGTGGAGTGAGTAGAAAATTTCTTAATAAAGAAAAATGAAAAAAAGACAGCTAGAAAATTTTTTTTTTCTGATTTGTAAAAATAAAATAAAATAAAATAAAGCCTTTAAAGAAAGAATAAAGTAATATAAAGGATAAAACCCAGGGGCTGGAGAGATAGCTCAGAGGTTAAGAGCACCGAGTGTTCTTCCAGAGGTCCTGAGTTCAATTCCCAGCACCCACATGGTGGCTTACAACCATCTGTAATGAGATCTAGCACCCTCTTCTGTATACATAATAAAAATCTTTAAAAAAAAAAAAAAAGATAAAACCCATGCAAAGATGGAAAATACACAGTGCGTTTGGATCCTGTATGTTACTGTGTTGTCTTTGAACTTTCTGATTGAATGACAGCTACTAAGACACACTGGATTATAAAAACTGCTGGATTAAACTAACCTATATGTTTAAAAAATATCTTTACGTCAAAATGGAAGTCAAAAGGTGTGTTGCTTTGGGGGAGAGGTTATGTTTTTATTTCCACAGGAAATGAAAGGCTAGGGTTCATTCAATGTTAAGGATGATCAGGTTCGACTGAGGAAGACTCCCTGAAAATCCCGACTGCAGATATAAAGACATAGAAGAACCATAAGACATGTGATATATACTCACCTGCTCAAACATAAAAAATCATCTTTGGCTACCTTGTATACAACACACACAGTTTATACATGTGTGTTATATACATGTCTATTAATACACCCATGTATGTTACTTTTAAAAGTTTATGTATTTTCAGGACAAGGGGACCAGAGACCAATGAAAATGGATGGCCCAGGTGATCTAGTATCTCAAAATGCCTCTGTTACAGTTTTCTCAGAATTCTGCATCCAAAACAGATTCAAGGCTGCTGGCTGAGATGGACCAGCCTCACAGAATACTCCAGCCAAGACTTAATCATTATCCTGATTTCCTCAAGTTTCCCTCAAAGATGCCAGTTCCCCCAAACATCAGGAAGCAATCTATAAAAAATGACACCCACATTTTCAAAAGATGGGTTATGGATGTTTGTTATCATTTAAGGGTGGCTGGTTACAAGTTGTTATTGGTCACAGTCAGGAAAAAAGTTAAATTCAAAGATCTGTTTCTAAAGGAAAGAAAAGGGAGATATGATATAGGAGTGATAGAAAAAAAAGGTAGATTATTGAATCTACTTTAATCCAAAAAGCAACTATTAATCGCAAAATAGTTTACATTGGTATGGATTTTAGTTTATTGATACAAATTTAAAGTTAATTTTGTTATATTGTATATATGCTTCTACTCTTGTTTGGGGTATTGAATTTAGCAGCTCATTTAAAATGTAATTTATAATTAAATACAGATTAATAGTCATTTATAACAGTCAAAATTATAGTCAGGTATTTTTTTCAAGGTCATACACAGATATATTAGATAGTCTTCAAACACTTCAGAGATCTACAGAATATGGCATTTAATATGTTTAATAACCTAAGGCTTTTCATGATAGTGAGACACACCTGATCTCAACAGCACCAATCTACTTCAAAGAAGATGATGGGCATCGAAGAACCTCTGTATGGAGTTTTCTTTCTTTATAGCAAAAGCTAGCCATTTGGGCAAAGAAGCTTCCTTTGCCTCAACTGCTGACAGGATACTGTCCAAACAGGACCAATAGGATGCAAAAAAAAAAAAAAAAAGAAAAAGAAAAAAAAAAAGTGACTGCCAAACTTTGCCAAGACAAGGTAGGACATTCCTTCAAAATTCCCTGCTTCTCAGAAATGTCTGTCAGGTATACTAGGCCTGTAGGCCAAGGTTGGATGCCCCAATGTTACAGAGGAACTTTGGGTGACTGTCCAAGCAGCCAGATGTGATTAGGTAGCATTACACCCTTCTGGAGTCTTTTGAGGGAGTTAAAGACTAAATAATTAAACTTATAATTTTCTTTAGTTATAATAAAAGTGAATTAGGTATAAAACTTTAGATTCACAAAGATTAGATAATAGAATATTTTCTCTAATTTTGTCTACTACAAGTGGACTGGCTATTGTAACTAATTCTTACTTGTTATATATAATTTTACTATGTTAAAGTTAAAACTTCCTTTATTTAGACAAAAAGGGGGAAATTCTATGGAATAATTCTTCCATACACTGTGAAAACATCTTGTTTTCAGTATTAATAAAAAGCCGAATGGCTGATAGCTAGGCAGGATAAGAAGGGCAGAGTTTGAAGAATTGCAAGCTAGATGTGGAAGAAGCAACATGGGAAGTTCATAGATGAGGCAAATGAGCCTTGGGGCAGCACATAGTTGAATAGAAATGTGTTAATTTAAGTTGTAAGAGCTGGCTGGAGACAAGCCTAAGCTATCGACCAATCAGCTTTTTAATCAACAATGAGAGCAACACATTTTCTTTTTTTTTTTTTCTTTTTCCTTTTTTTTTTTTTTTTTTT